ATATTTTACTATATTCAAATTAGTTTTAACTAAAAATCATAATAAAACATTAAAAATCTTGACACGCACTTGTATTTTTTTTTTGTAAAAAAAATAAGTTATCTAACTCAAAATTATCTCCAATGTCGTGACAATAACAAATATAAATTCAACTAAAATAATAGGTACTCATTTTGTGTCTCTGGGTCAAGATTTCAGAGCACGAAACGTCCTTCATTAAATAACACGGTAATTTAAAAGAAAAAAAAAGACAATATTTAGTTTAAACAAATCTATTTGTCCATCAATTACAAAAAAAACATGACAAGGCCACGACGAGTCCAAAGCAGAAGTTCCACGAAATCAAAAAATCAAAAGTTTTTAATGAATGAACAGTGTATTTGAAATGAGAGCAGCGCGGATAATCGACGCACAGCCTTGTTACGCGGTGTCCACTTGAAACTGTGCCAAAATAACCAAAAATTCAATAACATGAATGCAGAGACGACCGCGAACCTATTTTCGCTTTTCATCCAGAAGCGAAAATGGAGTAAAAAAAATCTATCCCGAAACGGCCGAACTATTCTTAAAGACGGAGCGTCATCGTCGCAGAGCATCCACGAAAGTTTGGGTATTCCCACTAGGTACGTGTCTTGGTCTGATATTGAAGAAGCGAAAGGAATGCGATTTGCGACCGGAAAAGTAGAAATCGCGCAGAAGTGAAAGCACTTTCGCGGTGTGCTCTGGTTTTACGTTGAAACGTAAAGAAATGCAGTCGGTTTTACAGATACACGCCATGGTCAGTTCCTCTTGGAGGTCGTAGGTCGTGCATATGAGATATCATTATGGACACCATTAGGTTGATGGTCGTTATCGGGACGAGAGTATAAACATCAACTTTGACAGATTGTAAATAGAATCGAATATATAAACACGACATTTGGACTATAGTCGAATAATAATATACGAATATAAATATATAACACATCCTAGTATGTTGTTGTAATTATTTGTGTGGGCTTTTTTTTCAATTCGCTCTAATCTCGAGATTAAGCGAAACAAAACACGAGACGTTATCTAACCCCGCGAACATTAAATTGATTTCGAAACCATTAATTTACTAATTACTGCTGCAAGATTGCTCTGCAATTCAACCGAAACCGAAACAACATCAACCATATGCTTCCAAAACATACCAAAAAAAATAATAATAAACCTAAAATTGTCACCATCATTTCCAATCAATTTCTTTCATTTGATACAATTAAATTTAACATACTGACAACTCTCATTATTAAAAACAATTATAATTTAATATATTTTGTAAATACAAAACTTTTAATTAATCCATTAGCTTATCAAAAAAATAAACTCCATGACTCGTATATCAAGGACATATTTTGTGAATCACCGGTTTTTGCAATATGTAAATTTTATATACAAAATATATTTAAGAATCATGAATGTTTTAATCTAGAATTTTGTAATACTGCAAATATCCATTATATTTCTATTTGTCATCCATCTAATTATATATTTGTTTCGTTGCATTGCACAAAATTACAATTAGACATTTTGTTTGCAACCTCATCGCAATTATTGTAGAAGTAATTACTTAAACGTTTATCTATGTTAAATTAAAACTATCTCTCAAATTTATTTATTTCAAGTTTTCTATTTAAATCTAACATCAAATTAACATGAATAAACATAGACAATAGAAGAAAAATGTGTCTAAATATGTGTTTTCAAATTAAATTTAACGTTTGTTTTAATACCAAAAATAAATTAAATTTTTAACAAACATTATCATAAATATGATGATATAGACCGCAGACTTTCCAGTGACGTTTAATAGACCACAGATGTAAAACACTAAACCTTTTTTGAAGCACATGTGCAGTAAAAACGTAAACTAAATGTTACAAGATGATTGCATTTAATTCTGAGTAACGATAAAGTTACACATCATTCAATTTTTAACAGAAAATTACAATAAAGTTGAAGTTAAATTTACAGATAATTTCAAAGAAAAAAGTATAAAAATATTAATATCTGATTCATATTGTTTATGGATATTACGATCTACGCTGCACTCAAATTCACATAAATAATTGCAAACAGTAATGTAAATCGTCCGAGCAACTTTTTAAGGTCGCATTTCCAACACGCCGGCATTTTAATTGCATCTAGAAGATTCCAAATGGTCGCCTTTCACCAACAAAAATCAATTTAGCACAAATCGCGCGAATGCACAGAGTTTATTTAATTTTGTAAATGAAATTCATTAATTTCCTATCAATTTCCATTGTTGACATGCATTTAGTATAACAACAATTCGTCTTGATTTGCGCAAATTTTCAATAAAGGAAATATATTTAGTATTAAATTATATAAAATATTACAAAAAAAAGTTACAAAAATTGTTTTAATTGCGACAAACTAAGATAAATAAATACAAGATTTTAAACAGATGTTGTTAACTGTTTAAGTTAAATGGAAAACAAAGAATTCGAATGGAAAATATACAAACTAATAAGTCGGGTTCACTGGAATGTGATTATTTTTAGTGGATAGACTCTAGTTTGTTTACCTATCATAATTCTCTCAGTCGGTTGTAAACTGGAGGAAGAAAGAAAGTGAAAAAAAGGCAATGTCTGCGCCACTAATGCAATAAATCGTACCGAAATACACTAGTATAAGAGTAAAAACAATTGTAAGACTACTATTTCAGTGATAAACAGAAGTTTCCTGTCCGGAATTAATCCAATTTAAGTATGTTTAGCATACAATAAATTGGACGGGGCTAATTAGAGGTGCGGGACTATTCTTAAAACCCATCATTACTGCTACCTCGAAATAGCTTTAAAATTGTATAGTTCGAGAAAAAAATTTTGTAAATAACATTAAATTGATTTACAGACAGAAACAAGTTTTGTTGTAAACATTTATAAATTGATTGAAAAAAAAAACAACTTCTATCATTAACACTGAGTGTAGGAATTCAATCTAAATATATTTGATAAAAGGTTTTCCGATTCTTTAGTCTTATATAATGAGTAAAAAATACAACTAATTTCGTTGCTTAACTTTTGCAAGCTGTCATATTTTAAATACTCTCTAGCACCCGGCGTTTCTATATGTACATTCATCACATTTTATCATCCCATGTCTATAGCAATTTGTATAAAGCAAACAGGAACTATTTTCATTCATCTCCCCGGATAATAAATAAAATAAAAAGTATGTCACTTCATAAGACACCTGGATTTCCTTTGGGTGCATCTCCCCTTCGATTCCGCACAATCAACATGCGATTGTCAATATTTCCATTATTTATCTTTCTTCTTCCTCTCCACCCTTCAACCACAACAACCCCCGTATCAAAAAACGCCCCTTGTGCATGCGGCATTACCGTTAAATATTTAGCACTCGTAATGACAGGCTTTTCGATTAACTAGCTACAATTGTCCACAGTTCTCGATCCAAGGTTTGGAAACATTGAACCGTCGACTTTAATCATAGATTAAACGAACGAAACACGCGATTACCTACTTTCTCTCCCTCTTTCTCCTGCAATTAACTTATTTAATTACGGGTCATCATCAATCATACCTATACAAGTCGTAATCAAATAAATTCGTAATCATGCATTGAATTACAAAATTAGTGTAAATATTTGTGTTATGGAATTATATAAAAAAGAATCGTTATATACATAAATGAATAAGATTTTCTAATAAAAGCAATAGGAGAAGTAACGTAATACTTTAACAGCTGCACTAAAATTTGCACAAAGAACCATTTAATTCCTCCAAATTTTAGAAAACGTTTTATAGAATGATTGAGTAGAAAGTTATTTTTAGTAAAGAAAAAACCTCTTTCGAACTTGACTTATTTTGAACCATATTTGCGTCATTTGTGTAACGAATAATTAAGAACTCAATTGAAAATCGTATACATTACAGATATTATAAAATCGTTTGCGAATATCATTCTGGAAAAACGTAACGACTTTTCCTGTTAATTACGTGTCCCCATAACGACCAGTTTCTAATTATGTACACGTAAACATCAAGATACATTTAATTACTACTCATCATTAATCAGAGAAACCTATTATTTTTCATTAATTAAGTAACAGTGTCATTTATAAATACAAGATACAAAAATAAATGTTTTCTTCTTAAAAGGAATTAGTATTGAGTAATAGTACAAATTTTAAGTACATACTTATATAAATTTTTATAAAAAAAAAACTATTGATTATCACGCACTTCGTGCACAATCGATTTCTGAAATATTATTTATCTAATGAAAGATAATCCACGAAATATCCCATTATCATCATCATCGTTGATGTAATTGAGTAAAAAATGAGAATGACACTGAATTAATTTACATAATGACTCAATTATTTTGATACTTGAAATATCTAAAGTATTGTATTAAAATTTAATTATAATTAGTTTGCAACTAATTGGATCGAAATTAAATGTGTAACAATAGATAATAAATATTATTACATTTAATTATAACAATAATTCATTGTAAACGAGATTTGACAGCTGTTAATGTTAACATAGTAATGGTAAACAATCGATTGACAATACAATAAAGTGAAACAGAATTAATTGGCAATTGTTTCGTATCCGGCGGAAGCGCATTCAAATTGGATTCGAGCGCCAAAAGTGGAATTCCTTTTGAGAATGTAGTGTCTTCGGACAGTTGAATTTGTATTAAACGAGTAAATTTATATTGTAGCGTGTGATTTAACAACAATATGTTCGAATAGTTTAAGAGATGCATATATGAAGGTGATCTCAGTTGGATTTTCCGTGTGTCGGTTTCGGTGAATGCACACGTGAAGTATACAATTTTTTTTTAACGGGTATTGTAACGGGTTCTGGTTCCGCGGAATTCGGCGACGGTGGCAGTCGGTGTATGCAGAGGTTGAGGTGAAGGTATACGTATTGTATACAAGAACAACCTTCTTGTTGTTGTTTTCGCATATCACTCACCTGCTAATGTGAACCTATCCATGTAGTTGATCAAATTAACGAAGCACAGTATAAATATGGAAATCCACTCGCGCCTTGTAACGTCTTTGAGTGTGGGACCCTCATCTTCAGCTGGGTCCACGGTGTGTGGCATGAGCTCCTCGTGGGAGTTGTTGGAGGAGACGATGGGTTTCATGTTGAGGACTTTAAGAACGTGAGCACCTTGTTTCTCTAGATCCTGTGCCGGCATGACAATACTACCACCACGAGATATATACCGGTTAACCTCGACGAGCCGACTGCATGCAACAAATGATGAACCGGGCTTCGTACGTGGACCATGTTGGCGGTACGCGTGCAGCGCAAGCGCAACTATCACCTGATTATTCCTATTTTCCTATCCAAAAATGTTCGCCCCCCAGTAAACAACACGATGACAACACACAGCTGACAGCCCTGACAACCGCAATAAACAAACACGCTAACGTCAGAGGATATCGCCTGATGATACAGCCTTATTCAACATTGTCTACCATCATCGAAGAAGTCCATGTCGATCCTCTCCATACAAATCTACAACCAAAAATCAACCTGTTAATGCTGTTTGCTTAATCCAATTGCAATATCTCTAGTAGTTCTTGTATAATTGTTTATCAAAACACTTACCCCACTCGGATTAGCGGTTTCCCAAGAACGGAACGTGACAATTGATTCCGCAAACAACTGACAACAATTAAAATACTTAACAACTGCAGTTGGCTTGGAAACAAACAGCTTGTCATCAGATGATCACCTTGAAGATCTGTCTCCTCCTACAGAAGTACAACAATCACTGCTTTAGGTTGTTACAATATTGTAGTAAAACACTTTATTACCTCGTGAAGACACTCATTTGCACCAAAAGGATATGCTTCTCACATGACAGTTTACATTGCCCACAAAAATTCTAACGTTGTTTTTCTCATCTCGCATTGTTACTCACCAGCTTAGCAGAGACATCTACATTGAAACTACTTAAGTCATAAGTAGTGAATACTGTCGCTCTCTATGTAGAACGTGTGAAAGTTTTATTATTTTTATACAATAGTAGTTCACTTCATTACCTTCAGAAGTTTAAATTTAAAATCATACTTTTTAACACCGGAGAGAACGTAGACTGGTCTGTACTGCTCGGTGGCTCGACGTCGACTACCTTCAGAAGTAAATAAATTTAAATTTAAAAAAAAATGCATTTATACAGTAAAATAACATTATTTTCTGCTCTTTAAATCAATATTCTACTTATAATTTTCAATATGAATACTTTTTTCAAAATCATTATTGTTTAGACTCATTTTAGGAAACTTCTTCTTCCTTCCTCCTTCTTCATTTGGCTTCCGTATTACGCGGATAACGAAACTAAAAAATAACTTTTAAAGCAAACTTAAACTAACTTCTATAAAATATATACATAGAAGAGATACGGCAAGACAGGTAAAAACAAGAAAGGTTACGAGTCGAACATAAAAATTTAACGTTTAAGAAACTTAAAGGTCAAAATACTTAATATATTTTTAAATCTGTAATATTACAATGTTAAACAACTTTGAGTTTATAATCCTGGTTTTGATGTAGTTTATGTATGAGTGAGAATAGAATGCGTATAAACACTAAATATACAGAATTTAATTCATTTATTTCTAAATTATTTATAGAAGAAACAATGGCTAAATTAGGATAACACATTTTTTTTTTAAATGGCACTACATTAGATATTTCACAAATAATCTTCGAGAAGTCATATAATAACTATAAAAAATATTGAATATTTTATTGGAAATATAACAAAATTCAATTTTGTAATTTTCGCAAATCTAAAAATATTATTAACGAGTCAAACAATTAGTAACGAATTAAAGCTTTCCTGTTTTTTCAATTATTTTCTTTTCCATCAAATACCATTTACATATTATACACAACACGAAATAACATCAACATTAATATTAGATATTAAGATTTCGTCTTTTTTTTTAACGGTTTGCGTTACTTAATTATAATTGAAACGTTTCAGAATTTTGAGATTCTCGTCTGTAGCGTGTCAGGCTGTACAAGAATCAACTTGTTATCACCCAAAAGGTTGTTCAGTGTTTTGATGTAGTCCAAGACGACCTCTTTCAAGAATAACTCGAGAATGACGGTTTCGAGTTTATCGCTGTGCGCGCATTTTGTAAAACGGAACGTGAAATTGTGCTGCACATAATTTTGCAGCGTGACGGACACACGCCTCACGTGCAGGATGTAAGGGATTATGTAATTGCAAATGTTCGTGATCTCCGTGAGCGTCTCGAGTAGTACCAGAGCGCAGTTCTGAAGTCTCACGAGTTCACCTTCGAAGTCTTGACAATTGGTAATGACAGTCACCCTGTTTGTAGCCGATTTTGAGAAGGTGTTGCTTTCGCAAATATCGCATTGCTTGAAGATTGGATCGATCTGATTGAGCACGAAGGAGGAGATATTGCAGAGAGTTATAGAGTCCAATGGTTTCAAAGGGTCGAAATCTTCAGGGAGGAGGGGAGGCAAATACTTGGGATGCACTGTGTTAACGACGTCCGTGAACAACTCTTTGGTATTTTCTAAACTACCTTTTCTCAAATCATCCAATATAAACGATTTGTGGCTGGTGCTGTACTGCAAGCAGGTCAATCTCTTGGTCTTCAGCAACTTCATCTCCTTGTAAACCTCGTTGAAGGCTCCATTGTTGAAAGCTCTCAAAGGAAATGTGCCGTGATTGTTGTCCATCAGCAGGAGTTCTCTGATGGCCAGGAAGCCTTTTATCGTGCTGATCCAGTGCTTGATGACGGCTGGCTGTGGAATCTTTACTCCCAAAGCATTCTTGAATTCCATACTCTTGAAAACGAGTAACGCTTGATGCCATATCCTGTTCTGCGATGATCTAAGATTTACAAGTTTATTTCCAGTTAAACTATCGAAGAGCTTATCCAAAAATCCACAGAGATACGCAGTGCCCATAGCATTTTTCTCCAACGCGTCATCCCGAACGAATTTCTCTATGCAAGCCGCGACGGATTTACTGAAAACCTGTACTGCCAAAGAGACGTTCTTCCTCGAAATAGGTTTTCGTGTAATATTCTTCAGGCTCAGCCTATTCATTACCCTGAAATTTGATTTACAATCTCTGTGGTAAGCTCGTTCCACATCCGACCATTTGGCCAACTTCTTTGAGCAGTTGAACATAAATTTGATGTTATGTCCGACCAAATTGTTCCTCAGATCCGTCAGCAGCGCAGCTGGATTGTATATGGATATCATATGCGTATCTTCGATATCAATACTATGAAAATTTGGTTCTTTTCCCAAGTTTTGAACAACCTCTATGTTGGCTTCGGTGTTATCGCAGAGAAATGCAATAGGTTTAAAGCCTATTTCTGCTAAAGCTGTCACGATCTCCTTGAGAAAACTTTCCGTCCTCTTCTCGTCGCTGCTCGATTTTGAGAAGTTATAGGCGATCGGAATCTTCCATTTTCTGAAGATACCGCACATCATGTACACTTGTACAACGTCGGCAACCTCCTGACTCCTGTGCAAACCATCATCTTCGAAACCAAGTACAATATCGCTTTTCAGAGAGTAATCCAAGTGTGGCGTTAAAGGAATCTCATCGTACATGAGCAAACACGTGCGTTCCTTCTCGTCCATGCTTTTGATCTTAGACTTCAAACTGAACAACACGTTAGCGTTGATTCCCGGTGATATAGAGATCAAGTCCAAGAATTGTTTCAAGGAAGAACGTGATGGTAACGCGAAGAGTTCCCTCAAAATCTTGTAGCACTTCCTGTTGCATCTGAACATGCTCAGCGCAAGCATCTTATCCTTGTCCGAGAACAGCACACCTTTCTTCTCTTTCTTCCGGACGCTCCTTAATTGAATATCCAGGAATTCCCTTACAGACGGACTTAAATTTTCCAATCGCTTCAGTTCCCGTTGAGCAATCCTCAGTCGATACCGTAAAATCTTCCTCTTCCTCTCCACGAACTTCATTTTCTTCTGGCTAATGACCATTTCGGCAATGGCCTTAACCTTGCTCTTCTCCGATGCTACAAAACAACCATTACAAGACCATACAACCTTAATCCATCTACAAACCTGCTAGATGATCTTTCAATTTGTTAATTTCCCTCTGTTCGAACGCTACAGGACTTTTACCCGAGGTGACGGTCTGAGTGTTTTTTACTGAAATATACGTAATTTGAAAGGAATTTCTAACAATTATACACATCACGCATTACCAATTTTACCCTTGGGTTGATCATTGGGCAGCTCTTTGATTTGAGCGCTGGTCGCGGGCATACTGAGAGGATGGAACTTCATATTACTGTTTAATATGTAACTTGTCTGCAACATAAAGAGTACTTTTAAAAATAATCGAACCCGAAACCTACGTCCAGCTAGAGTACTTGACTTCCAGTTAAGGGCAGACCACTCACTATGTTATTATTGAAATTCGAGACAGTTGGTACTGCAAAGACATACGCATAAGAAGTTACTTAGAATCATTTACCTACAAAACGCTAGTTACCTAATATGTTTCCTACGATTTGTGTTCCCATCAATTGCTCTTTAGATTCCGAACTCATCGTCCTCGGCACTAAACATAGAATAAAGACAGTTAGAACATCCGTAGGAAAATCTAATAATTGTCTTTTCATTTGTGCGTGAAGTCAACCAAAAACATAATAACTTATACAAAAGAAATTAAATTCGCTTGGAAAAGAAAAACAAACTTTATTACATAATAGACTAATATGCCGATACAAAACTGAACCAAAAAAAATAAATAATAATAACAAATTCCAATTAGATTTAATTGGATTATCGTTTCGTTAACTATATCTTCTTGGTAATATAACATAATCTAACTAAGCTGCAAATAAAAATCAACTTTAGTATAGCTAACCTACCTATTTACATATAGATATATTTATACTATTTAGAGATCAGGTAATGTGAGTTAGTTGAGTGCATGTTTTTTTTTCCTGCTTTATAAATCTTACATATTAAATATTCTTGCATGGATTAGTTATGGAGACTTTGTCAATTTCACTTTATATGCAGTTTGACTAGTTTTACTTTTACTTTCAACTTACATATTAATTGCTTGGCAATTATAGTTCCATTTGCCTGAGTTATGGACTTTATCTTAACATTGTTAGGAACTGAAATTGAAAATAATTAGTTTTTTTCTTCATTTATAAGCAAGTATTGGTTACCTAAAATCAATTTCCTCTTAAGATTATTGTTTTGGACTTGTACAGTTTGTGCTGTTGCTGCAATTTATCATAAATATTAGTTTTGATTTTACATTCATAACCCAAAATCATAAATACCAGATGTGTCTGTTGATGGTGTGTTAGTCACAATGTTTACTGGAATGTGTGATTCTACTTGTGTCGAAGTAGATGGTAACACAAGAGGTGGTGGAGGCTAAAACCAAACAATTATTTGAAAAATATTTCACTAAATTTAATAGAAAAAAAAACACATACCATGGCATCAGTCTCTTCCCTCCTCTTCTTCTTGGGATCAGGCATACCTGCAAGAAATGTTGATGATAAGATATTGTAAAAAGGATTATTTTTTTCTGGTGCTCTTTTAACTTGGAAGATTCTCTGTTGGTATTGGCATATCAGCTTTGGTGAAGAAGTTCCTGAACATGTAGTTCGGTGTGAAGTGCAGTGAGCATATCCGGCACCAGTTCTTTATTTTCAGTTTGTCCCACTTGAGCAGTTCCTGGTTGCCAGTTGCCAGCAACCACTTCTTGAACTGTGGACTGTCTTGGTGTGGGAAGCGGAAGAACCTAACTGGATCTCTGGGGTGAATCGAGGGACAGCCCAACACAAAGCATCTCACCATCCTCTTCAGTTGTGTTTCCAAAAAAAAACAAGCCCAAGCGGCCTACTTGATGTTTTCGTTTCCTAATGGAATCTTCAAATATAAACCGATTGTTTACATATACAAAAGATGCTGAATGTCAAAATTTTCATTATTAAAACGACGATAGTGCAGGGAACTGCACAGGCTTCGACCCTCCGGAATGCGTCCAGCCTCAAGGGCACAGGGTCTTATGTTCGTTTTCGTAGCTTCAAGCTAATCTCTATAATATTCAAATTCAAATTTGCAATAAATTTAAATAAATTATTACAGAGAAACAATGGCTTCTTAATGCTGATAGTCCTTTACAGATGGCAGTTAAGTGCTGCACAGTAGTACTTAAATCGATTTTGTATATTTCGAAGAAAACAGTTTTAGTAGTTATTAATAACACACATCATTTGTTACCTAACATTCATTACAAAGACTTTAATGCTCACAATGATTATTAGCATTTATTAGATATTCTTCACAACTTTACCATAAAATTATACTTATTATTACAAATGATCTAAATTACAATTATTTTATTTCATTACAACATAACAAATGAAATAATCAATATATTTTTTATCACAATGTACAATTTGTTAATTGTTATATAAATCTTATTAACATATTTATAATAACTTTATGGATTGTGAAAATTACATAACCAAATCTAATGTTTATAAGTAACAATTATTAATTACTTTTACTAATTTTCTTTATTACATACACATTAATATAATATGGTTAATACCAAATTAGTTAAAGAACTGTTATTATGTTTAAATTTATGTAATGACCGGGACAGCGCGTACGCAGTCCCGACTACCAAAAATTACGCGCCCGAGTTATCCACATTAGGGATAATCGCAAGGGTCAGCCCAGCCGTAGTGCAATGGTAAGGCCTCGCCCTGGGGGAACCACCTTGTTGATCATGGTAACCCCTACGCCAGGTAAGTATGATTTTTTTTAATTTTTCGAAATGTTTTAGCCGTCGCCTATACCAAATTATTCTGTAGAGAGTTACGTGCTCCGCCATCTGTAGCTAATAGCCCTAACATGATCTATAACTGATACCAAAAATACAAAAAATATGTAATATTTGATCGAAATCTTTTGATAAACGTGTTAATATTATAGGATTCTATCTAGTTTAAGTATTAGTTGTGAATGATATCATTTGGTCAATTCAATTCAAAGATTTTTTTAAAGGAATAAATAGAGCTGTTTCCATTTCGGAAAAGCCTTACTACACTTAGAATTAAAGATTAAGTTATTAATTATAACTAGTATTAGAAAGTACATATTTCAACCATAACTCGATAGATTGGATACAAAAGAAAATGTAAAATCTTCTAAGATACATGTTAATATTAAAGGTTTCTACATGGTTTAATTGTTGTGACTGAAATCAGTAAAGTAGTAAATTGAAATCGATATTGCTTTTCAGGAAAGTTCCTCTTTTATAGAAAATTCAGTTTCGTATAGTAAATGCATCAAATATCTAACAAGTTTTACACATTGCATTACACCAAAAACTATTAGAATTGGATTCATAATTTCATTGTAATTTATTATTGCATGTAAATTCCAATCATGATTCATGTTCAAGTTTCATAATAAAAACTAAATAAAAATAAATAAATTTGCAAACCTTTATCAATACAAAAATAAAATCAAATAAATCATGAATTTTCTAATAATTACGTATATTAAATTAATTTATATGAATTGCATATTTATGTAATGGATGTGGTTAAACATGATAATTATTCACGGCTATCGATTTTCACATAGATGATATGTGGTAATAGCTTTAAAGTCATCAACAATAACATAATTACAACAACAAATTACGTATTTATAAAAAAAACAGTAATGTTTATGTAATAAAACAGTTTTTGTTATTTGACTAACAATGGTTTTAATCATTGAATTATTGAATTATGTAATTGTTGAAATGCGAATTGTGGGCATGATTTAAATTGCATAAAATATCAAAAAAAAGACGTAAAATTGCTTTTTACACCCAGTTTCTCTTTGTAGCCCACATTATTATTAACAAAATATAAGCCTTTCCTTGACCAGAATCCATATGGATTGGTGTCACGAATGATGAGATTCATGTAATATAATAACAATGATTTGAATTCAGATGTCGTTTGAGAACGAACGAAGGTACAAGACGAGTAATTGATAATTTACAATTTAAATACGTATTATATCATTCATTCATTTTATTTTTGATGATGATGCAGTTTGGTTTCTCCAAGTTCTATACTTGCCAAGTACTTGTTAAGTTTAGAAGATTTCACTTTACAAGTACTTGGCAAGTATAGAACTTTTTTTTTTTGGAAGATAGGAAAACCTTGCCGTGGATTCGTGGTACTGTGGGATTCTTACCCACTAAAAACCTCTCCTCTTCTTCGTCAGCATTCAGGCCCTGTTTGTTGATACTGCTCTGAAATGTTGATTCTCCATTCTCCTCTGATCATCATCCTTGGTAGAGAGTACAAGTATAGAACTTGGAGTAACCAAATTGCATCATCATGTCTTGGAGTAACCAAATTGCATCATGATGATTAATTTGATTTGTGATAATTATTCAGTTTGGTTACACGAAGTTCTATACTTGCCCAGTACTTGTAAAGTAAAATCTTCTAAAGATTCATTAATTTGAATGATGATGATGATAAAAATTCTAGCCAAGTACTTGTTGTAAAGTGAAATCTTTCCATAAATATTTTGCAAATAATCATAGAACATAATTATGTTACATAGTTTTAAGTTCATGATTTAATTGTGATTACGTCTTAATAAAGATGTAGTTAATTTATATTTCCTATTGATTGTACTATTATAAAAACCGCTTGCGTAAGTTTAAAGTTATAACGATTTAAAAAAAAATACTAGTTAAAGAATGTAAATTGTTTTTGAAACAACGGAAGGTACAGAAAGTTAAACAATTAACATCACCTACGACAGGAATCCGACAATCAATAGGAAATATAAATTAACTACATCTTTATTAAGACGTAATCACAATTAAATCATGATTAATTTAAGCTGACGAAAGCAATTTTTACTACAACAATAAAATTAGTTCTTTACTACTTTATTATACGTGAAACCAGTTGATCAACTATCGAAACAAAA